ATTTTAACAATGCAAGGAATTCGCAAGAGCAGGCGCAAGCTGGACTCCAAGGTATTGATCCAGTGTGGTGAGTTCGGTATAGCACTGCGTACCTTGTTCGAAGGTTCGTAGGCTCGAGTCTCCTTCAGCCAGAGATCAGTGTTTGTATATATATATATATATATATATATATATATATATATATATATATATATATATATATATATATATTCACCACACTGGACAATACCTTGGCGTGCAGCTTCCGCTACTTGCTGATCCAAGGCAGCCAGCTTTCAGGGAGAAGGCTTACAGGTTCGAGTCTCCTTCAGCCAGAGATCAGTGTTTGTGTATATTTCGCCTGCTCTCGCGAATTCCCTGCATTGTTAAAATCTCTAGTAAGGCTGATGCATGCAGGGGATGAGATGAAAAGCTGTAAGCCTTCTCCCTGAAAGCTAGCTGCATTGGATCAACGCGTAGCGCAAGCTACACCAAAGGTTATTGTCCAGTGTGGTGAGATTGGTATAACACTGCGTACGTTGTTCCAAGGTTCGTAGGTTCGAGTCTCCTTCAGCCAGAGATCAGTGTTTGTGTATATTTCGCCTGCTCTTGCGAATGCCTTATATATATATATATATATATATATATATATATATATATATATAGTATCGTTAATGATGAAATTTATGATCAAGAAAATATGGTATATTATCAAGTTGGTAAAATATACTTGTATAGGTTATATATATATACATATTGTATATATATACATATTGTAACATATAACACATATATAAATACTTATAATAACTATTATAACATATTATATACTATATAAACATATTATAATATTTTTATATTATAATACTTATATATATATATAATATTAATATATTATTAAACTATTATAAAATACTATATATTTAATATTATATATAATATTATGATACTTATATATATATATTATATATACATCACTATTATATAAATATTATGCAACATATATACATATTATAAATTATTTTATATATCACTATATATACCATATTATATAACATACTACTATATTATAATACTATTATACAACCATATCACCATAATTAATAACAATATTAAACACATAATTATAACATAATAATATACAACACTATTATACAACACTAGTACACACAACTAACTCAAACCAACAATTATACCCACTATTATCAACACTACTACACACTATATACACCACTTTATACACCACTACACACACTATTATACACCACTATTTAACAACACTATAACACACCACTATTATACACCACTATTATACAACACATACTAACACACCACTATTATACAACCATATTATACAACATACTACTCACCACTATTATACACCACTTTTATACAACACTATACACACCACTATTATACAACACTACTACAACCACTATTATACACCACTATTATACAACACTGTACCACCACTATTATACAAACACACTAACCACACTACTATACACCACTATAACAACACTGCTACAACACCACTATTATACAACACTACTACTCACCACTATTATTTCTCCACTATTATACATACTACTACTACAACACTATTATACACCACTATTATACAACACTACTAACAACCACTATTATAACAACACTACTAAACACCACTATTATACAACACTACTACAACACCACTATATATACACACTACTTTTACATACACTATTCACACCACTATTATACAAACAGACTACATTAACACCACTATAACAACACTGCTACACACCACTATTATACAACACTACTTACAAACCACTATTATACACACTACTACAAACCACTATTATACACACTACTACAAACCACTATTATACAACACTACTACAAACCACTATTATAACAACACTACTACACACCTCGATTATACAACACTACTACTCACCACTATTATACAACACTACTACACACCACTATTATACAACACTACTACACACCACTATTATACAACACTACTACACACCACTATTATACAACACTACTACACACCACTATATACAACACTACTACACACCACTATTATACAACACTACTAACTACTATTATACACCACTATTATACAACACTACTACACACCACTATTATACACCACTATTATACAACACTACTACACACCACTATTATACAACACTACTACACACCACTATTATACACATACATATTATACACCACTATTATGCAACACTACACACCACTATTATACACCACTATTATACAACACTACTACACACCACTATTATACAACACTACTACACACCACTATTATACACCACTATTATACACCACTATTATGCAACACTACACACCACTATTATACACCACTATTATACAACACTACTACACACCATTACTATTCACCACTATTATACACCACTATTATACAACACTATTATACAACACTACTACGCACCACTATTATACACCACTATTATACAACACTACTACACCCCACTATTATACACCATTATTATACAACACTACTACACACCACTATTATACAACACTATTATACAACATTACTACTCACCATTTTATACACCACTATTACAAACACTTCTACACACCACTATTATACAACAATGATGCACACCACTATTATACAACACTACTACACCCCACTATTATACACCACTACTACACACCACTATTATACACCACTACTACACAGACTATTATACGCCACTACTGCACTCCACTATTATGCACCACTACTACACCCCACTATTATACACCACTACTACACACCACTATTATACACCACTACAAACACCCACAAATTTATAACACCACTACCACACCCCACTATTATACACCGCTACTACACCCACTATTATACACCACTACTACACACCACTATTATACACCATTACTACACACTATTATTAAACAGCACTACTACACGCCACTATTATATACACTACTACACACCACTATTATACACCATTACTACACCCCACTATTATACACCACTACTATACGCCACTATTATACACCACTACTACACCCCACTATTATACATCACTACTACAACCCCACTAGTATACACCACTACTACACACCACTATTATACACCACTACTACACCCCACTTGTATACACCATTACTACACACTATTATTATACAGCACTACTACACGCCACTATTTATACACCACTATTATACAACACTACTACACACCACTATTATACACCACTACTACACACTATTATTAATACACCACTACTACACCCCACTATTATACACCACTACTACACACCACTATTATATACCACTACTACACACCACTATTATACACCACTACTACACACCACTATTATACACCACTGCTACACACCACTATTATACAACAATACTACACACCACTATTATACACCACTGCTACACACTACTATTATACACACTACTACACACTACTATATTACACCACTACTACACACCACTATTATACACACTACTACACACTACTATATTGCACCACTACTACACACCACTATTATACACTACTACACACTACTATATTACACCACTACTACACACCACTATTATACACCACTGTTATACACCACTGTTATACACCACTACTATACACCACTGTTATACACCACTACTATACACCACTACTATACACCACTGTTATACACCACTACTATACACCACTGTTATACACCACTGTTATACACCACTATTATACACCACTACTATACACCACTGTTATACACCACTGTTATACACCACTACTATACGCCACTGTTATACACTACTATACACCACTACTATACACCACTGTTATACACCACTGTTATACACCACTACTATACACCACTACTATACATCACTGTTATACACCACTGTTATACACCACTACTATACACCACTACTATACACCACTGTTATACACCACTGTTATACACCACTACTATACACCACTGTTATACACCACTGTTATACACCACTACTATACACCACTGTTATACACCACTGTTATACACCACTACTATACACCACTACTATACACCACCGTTATACACCACTACTATACACCACTACTATACACCACTGTTATACACCACTTATACACCACTACTATACACCACTGTTATACACCACTGTTATACACCACTACTATACACCACTGTTATACACCACTGTTATACACCACTACTATATTCCACTACTATACACCACTGTTATACACCACTTATACACCACTACTATACACCACTGTTATACACCAGTTATACACTACTACTATACACCACTGTTATACACCACTGTTATACACCACTACTATACACCACTGTTATACACCACTGTTATACACCACTACTATACACCACTGTTATACACCACTTTTATACACCACTACTATACACCACTGTTATACCCCACTGTTATACACCACTACTATACACCACTGTTATACACCACTACTATACACCGCTGTTATACACCACTGTTATACACCACTACTATACACCACTGTTATACACCACTGTTATACACCACTACTATACACCACTGTTATACACCACTACTATACACCACTGTTATACACCACTACTATACACCACTTATACATCACTGTTATACACCACTACTATACACCACTGTTATACACCACTACTGTACACTACTACACATATTACTACTTACTATATACTACTACACATATTACTACTTGCTATGCACTACTGCTACACATCAATAATACACTTCACTGCTGCTCACCACAACTACACATCAATACACATTACTAGTGCACACCAGTGCTATATATCATTAATACACCTCAATGATGCAAATCACATCAACGCTGCTACACCTTACTGCTATAAATCACATTACTGCCACACCTCACTGCTACAAATCACATCACTGCTACACACCGAAAGATGAAACCTCAGCTATTGCGTCGTATAACCCACATTACTTTACAACAAAGTATGCTAGTTGTGGGTTCCTACCTGGGTGTGCTTATCGTCTAGAGGCCCGGGAGAGCCTGGAGGTGATGGTGCCGGAGGCTGAAAGTCGGTCTGAGTGTGGAGGTCGGTACACACCAGGCCGAGGCTCCACCCTTTCCAGCTCATCGCCACTCAGGTCCAGATCGGCCACTAGCTGCAGGATCTCTCGGTCCTTCTTGCTCATCGAGTCCTCGCCAATCCCTGCCAGGGATCCGTAGGAGCGAGATCGATGTTCCTCGCGGATGCTGTACGAGAAAGCCCGCTCGTTTAGATGACCCTTTCTGCCGTATATGTCTTCGTCAGACTCCTTCTTGTTGCTGGTCTTCTTTTTCTTCTTGTGTTTGGGTCGTCCGGTAGTGGCGTAATGTTCCATGAGGTACTGCTCGTGGGGAAAGTGTCCCGGCTGGTAGGATGCTGTGGGACTCAGGGGACGGGTGGAAGGCATGTAGATAGGTTCCTCAAGGACCCTTGATGGAGGCCGACGGCCTGGAGGGCCATAAACCCCCGGGTGTGGAGGACCTGGAGGGACGTGTGGTCCCATGGGTCCAGGAGGGGCCAACATGACGTGCGGGGGTCCAGGTGGGGGAAGCATGTGTTGTGGAGGAGGCCCCTGGAGGGGTACCATATGTGGTGGAGGCATGGGTCCTATTGCAGGCACCATGGGTGCATTCATGTGGGGGCCATGAGATCCTGGGGGTCCATGTGGACCTGGAGGACCATGTGGCCCTGGGAGTCCATGTGATACGTGATGTCCGTGAGGGGGAGGTGGGCCATGATGGGCTGGTGGGCCCGGGGGGCCCTGCACCATTATGAAGGGTGGGGGTGCCCGCAGGCCCTTGCTCTTCCTGTCGGAGAGGCTGCTGCTGCCGAGTATGCGGAACTTTCCCTTCGTCTTAGGTGGTGAGGAGTGGCCGTTCATGTGGCGGGGAAGACTACCGTTATGATGCCTCATACCGCCGTTGATTATGCTCCCCGGGCGTGGAGGCCCTCCATTGGTCAGCCTACTCATCGTGTCCTCATCGCGACGAGCCTTATTTTTGGCATCTTTCTTCCCCTTTTTATCTTTGTCGGTATCAGGAGGAGGCGGGGCGACGGAGGGCATGATCATCTGACGGGGTCGAGAGGGCCGAGTTCCGCTAGCAGTTCCGTACAGGGATGATGATGACCTCGCTGATCGCATCGTCCCCGAGGAATAGTCAGAATAGATGAGCTCCGTCTCCGTTTTGTGGGGTCCTGCCCACACTTTGTGGTTGTCGTCGCCGTTGTATATAGATATTTCGTCCCCGGGTGAGCCCTGGGAGGTGGGCGATGCCGGCGCATCCTGGGTCGGTGATGAACCAAGAGACGTTGGAATGATTTCTGAAGCAGAGCTGCTGAAGTCTTCTATTTCAAGGACGCGTTCCTCAGTGGCTCTGCCGCCGTACACGGAACCGTACTGACTATTGCCGCCGCCCTCAAGACTGCGGGCATACATGGAGTCAGCATAAGCATGGAAGCAGCAACGCACTAAGGCATTTGCTGGAGTCTCACGTTTACATATGAAGGCGTGGCACTCGAGAACCTTGATGCCGGTAGTGCGGCGCATGATGCAGGCGAACAACGGTGGGTGATTGATGTTAGGGTTCCTGGCGAAGGGGGAGTCAAGCGGCAAGAATCTCTGCACTGCAGCGCCCTCTCCACCTGCCACCACCACATACCTGACGGCAGCGCAGTAATGAAGAGAATCAATGGGAAAGAAACGTGTCACTTTTTTCTGGTTTTCATCTACGTTTTCGAGTAGTAGGCCATTGGACCACACCGAGAGCCAGGAGTCTATTCCTCGTGCACTGACCGCGCCCTCTGCAGGGTATAACTCCCTGAGGGGTTCCTGTATGCCTTGCAGGCCGTCCTTAGTGACCTGGGGAACCGACGACCCCAGGTACAACACTCGGCAACGGCAGATAGGTGTTGGGTCCGCGCCGCCTCGCCTCGCCATCTTCATGATGTCAACTAACAAGAATCTTCACTAAACTTGAAAGAAATTCACGCTACTAGTGGTGTTCACTAATATTCAGAAGCACTACGATACACAAAAGGCTACAGCCCTGCTCCTCTTACGCTTGTTCATACTGAGCAAGTGGTACACACACACACTGGGATAGAAGGTTGCCCGACTCTAACTTGCTGTGGGTGCGTGGAGAACACTGCACAGGTGAGTGGGGGAGCAGACAGCACGGGTGTGGGGGACACCCACCATCCAGGCTCCAGGTATGCGGGCGCACTGCGCATGCCTGGCCAGCCAGCCGCTCCCGCAACACATCAACAGCCAATCCCGTAGCCGCTTCAGAAACTGGGTTACACTGTCTCTCAAGATCATCTGACTTTTTAAGCTCTCTCAAACTCACCAGGTGTTTCACTATATCTCTACGTTATCCAGGTGGCAAACGTCACTGAAATAAATTATACTGAGATGCGTAAATTTAAGAAGTTGCGTGTGTGGAGATGCAGGAGACAGATCAAGATGGTTATGTTGAGAAATGCATCACTTAAAAAAATTTTCAGCCACAGATTACATCTTTTAAGAGGTTAGGCTTTTTTTACATTCAGACGAAAAATGTGTTAATAAAGTTGCTGCTGAGAGTATGCTAATGGAGAGGAAGATATCCTGGGGCAGGAGCTTACACACCACACACACACACACACATACACACATACATACACACACATACATACAACACACACACACAACACACACAAACACACACACACACACACACACACACAACACACACACACATACACACACACACATACACACACATACACACACACACATACACACACACACACACACACACACACACACACACACACACACACACACACACACACACACACACACACACACACACACACACACACACACACACACACACCTAGTAGCTATCAGTGAAGAGGCGGGGCCAGGAGCTCGGACTCGATCCCTGCAACCTCAACTAGGTGAGTACAACTAGGTGAGTACACATAACACACATTAACACATACAACACACACACACACACACACACACACACACACACACACACACACACACACAACACACACACACACACACACACACACACACACACACACACAGGAGCTGTGAATCGACCTCTACAACCACAACTAGGTGAGTACACTAATATCAAGAAACTGAAGGGAGGTTCTTGATGGAGAGGGCTCTTAATCCAAAGAATTGAACCTAACCTCTCCTTCCCTGGATCGAACCCGATTATATCCCGTAGATTCTATCCGACCCCTGCGGGTTTAGCGTTCCCCCATGAGGGAGCGTGTGTATTATTATTAATACCCAAGACCCCGCCATTCCCCCGCCCCCCCACCTATCCCCCACAACTATCACGCCCACGTGCTCAGCGCCTCCAACATCAGTACGCAGTTTGCCACGCCCAAAATTGCGACTCAATACACACATACTCACCCTATCTTGCCTGCATTCAGCTGTCGTCGTCACAAATGACTTAATATGACCTATATACTGCCTGCCAGGCATGAGCTGCTGTGCTGCACGTGACGCCTACACCTGACCTATATATCCTTGGTTAGGCCTCATTTAGACTATGCTGCTCAGTTCTGGTCACCGTATTACAGAATGGATATAAATGCTCTGGAAAAAGTACAGAGGAGGATGACAAAGATTATCCCATGTATCAGAAATCTTCCCTATGATAGACTGAGGCCCTGAATCTGCACTCTCTAGAAAGACGTAGAATTAGGGGGGATATGATCTAGGTGTATAAATGGAAAACAGTAATAAATAAAGGGGATGTAAATAGCGTGCTGAAAATTTCCATTATTATTATTATAATCAAAAAGAAGCGCTAAGCCACAAGGGCTGTACAACCAAGACAGGACTCGCAGCAATGGTTTCAAGTTGGAAAAATTCAGATTCAGGAAGGATATAGGAAAGCACTGGTTTGGTAATAGAGTTGTGGATGAGTGGAACAAACTCCCGAGTACAGTTATTCAGGCTAAAACGTTGTGTAGTTTTAAAAATAGGTTAGATAAATCCATGAGTGGGTGTGAGTTGGACCTGACTAGCTCATGCTGCTGGGTCTGGTGCCGTGCTCCTTGAGTGGAGGTGACCAGACTGGGTGGGTCATTAGGCTAATCCGGGAGGGGTGGATCATTGGGCTAATCCGGGGGGGAGGGGACCTGACCTGCTCCGCATGGGTCAGTATGTGATGAATGGTTTGAAAAACCGACAAGTTGAAGATTAGAGACACTTATGCAGCATATGGGAATCTTTATTCAGGAAACGTTTCGCCACAAAGTGGCTTCATCAGTCCAATACAAAGAATAAAGATTCCCATATGCTGCATAAGTGTCTCTATCATCAAACTTGTCGGTTTTTCAAAACCATTCCCTCACAACTGTCAGACACTGCACATCATGGGATCTTTTACAAAGATTTCTTCAAACACGTTGTTCAACCTTTGGACGAAGACCTACTTCGACTAGTGGATGGTACCACTATGACCCCGCCTCCACCTGCTTCACCTCACCTCACTACAGTATATAAGCCACGTCTACGGCCCTATGCTGTACATTCTACAAGATTGATGGACTGAACACATCAACTCCAGGTTGAGGGACTGATTACCTCATTCTCCTCCTCTCCTTATGACTTCTTTGTATTGGACTGATGAAGCCACTTTGTGGCGAAACGTTTCCTGAATAAAGATTCCCATATGCTGCGTAAGTGTCTCAATCTTCAACATGGGTCAGTATGCCTGTTGCAGTGTTCATTCTTTCTTATGTTCTTGCAAATGAACTGCTAGGTGTACATATCGTACTATGACAATTCCGGTAACACAAATTAGTTGACAGATTGAGAACATAAAAACATACTAAAGCCGGGAATTAATGAGGATATCTCGGCTCATGTGGCAACAAACAGGTAGATAGTAAGAAACATCAAGCCTGTCGGCGTTGTGTACCTGTATCAAATAAATAATTACGAAAATAATCTGAAATTATAAATTAAATAAACAGTAATTACGCCCTCACCCCTGGTGAGGGGCTCTTCATCCAAGCAATTGAACCTGATCATCCTCCATCCTTGGATACCTGGAGGGTGTTCCGGGGGTCAGCGACCCCACGACGCGGTCCATGATTGCCTCCCATTCTCCACAAGCCCTATATGACCACTATGGGCTTAGCTCTCCTTCCCACTTTCACCACCATAATACGCAATAATACGCACGGACCATCTGTCATGTATGCGCCTGTAATGTCAGACCCCCTCCCCCCCTCCAAAAAAAAACCCACTGGCCGGACCTGTAACATACGTGATCTGTGGCGATCACTCTCCACCTGTAACGTAACAAGAGCAGGAAGAAACTGGTCTGGAGATTAAAAAAAAAAACAGAATGCAATACAGGAAATAATTGCAACACTAGGGTAGAAAATTTGTGAAAATTATAATAATAATAATAATAATAATAATAATAATAATAATAATAATAATAATAATAAAAACAACAACAACAATAATTATAATAATAATAATAATAATAATAATAATAATAATAATAATAATAATAATAATAATACGTTTTCTTTTCTTTTACTGTTTTTTTCTAACTTTCTATCATCTGTTGTCTTGCGTTTCTCTCTCCAGTCAAAGATCTCTGTTTTCTGCTGTTCTCCATTCTGTCTTCTCGGTCTACTCTCCTCTATTCCCTGTCCCCGCTACTCCACTCTGTCCTCTCTTCTCTCGTCTTTATCCTTTATTATCTGTTCTCTATTCTTTGTTCTCAGTTATGTCTTTCTTATTATCTATTCTTTATCCTCTGTTCCCTGTCTACTATCCTCTGTCCAGTCTTCATTTTCTTTACTTTCTGCTATTATTATTATTATTATTATTATTATTATTATTATTATTATTATTATTATTATTATTATTAGTAGTCTATATTTTATATCTTTTTGCTTTATCTTTTATAGTTTATTTCTCTTTGTTCCATATCCTTTATTTATTATTCCCTATTTCCTATCATCCATTCCCTATCCTCTATGCTCTATTCTCTATTCATTACCTTCTATTCCTGTCTGTTTTCTATCCTCACTTCTCTCGTCCTCTAATTTCTATCCTCTGTTCTTTATTTTTCATACCATCTATTCTTATCCTCACTTCTATGTCCTGTTTTCACTATCCTCTATCATCAGTTTTGTATCCTCAGTTCTCTATCTACTATTCTCTATCCTCGGTATTTTTCCAGCTCTTCTCTATTCTGTTTTTCTTTGTTCTTTATTCCGTCTTATTCTTTGCCATTCTTACCCCCCCCCTTTCTTTTGCTCTAATTGCTCCTCCATTCTTTTTTGTGTATCATTTTCCTCTATTCTCTGTAATTTTTTCTCTTTTCTATAATTTTTCCCATTTCTACCATTTTCAATATATTTTCTTCTGTTCTTTATAATTTTCCTATATTCCATATTATTTTTTCTATTCTCTACCATTTCAATCTATTCTTTATCATATATCCTCTATTTTCTTCTATTCTCTGTTATTTATCTTTTATTCTCTATCACTTGTACTCTATTCTTAATCATTTATTCTTTATTATATGTCCTCTATTTTCGTTTCCTGAGGTCATGTCTTGAGCTGCGAGTGAGATGCGGGAGAGTGAGGTGCGGGAGAGTGAGGTGCGGGAGAGTGAGGTGTGGGAGAGTGAGGTGCGGGTGAGGTGGGAAGTGAGGTGCGGGAGAGTGAGGTGCGGGAGAGTGAGGTGCGGGAGAGTGAGGTGTGGGAGAGTGAGGTGCGGGAGAGTGAGGTGCGGGAGAGTGAGGTGTGGGAGAGTGAGGTGCGGGAGAGTGAGGTGCGGGAGTGATGTGGGGAGAGTGAGGTGCGGGACAGTGAGGTTTCGGGACAGTGAGGTGCGGGACAGTGAGGTGGGGAGAGTGAGGTGCGGGAGTGAGGTGAGAGCGGTGGGGAGAGTAGAGGGGGAGAGTGAGGTGCAGAGAGTGAAGTGTTGGAGAGTGAAGTGCGGTAGAGTGAGGTGTGAGAGGAGTGAGGAGGTGAGTGTGAGAGTGAGTGCGGGGGAGTGAGGTGCGGGTAGAGTGAGGTGTGGGAGAGTGAGGTACGGAGGGAGGTGCGGAGGGTGTGGGAGAGTGAGGTGCGGGAGAGTGAGGTGGGGAGAGTGAGGTGCGGGAGAGTGAGGTGGGGAGAGTGAGGTGCGGGAGAGAGAGGACGGGAGAGTGAGGTGCGGGAGAGTGAGGTGCGGGAGAGTGAGT